AAACACAAGTGACTGAAATTAGATTATATTCCAGTTTTAAATGTGCATATGATTACAGATAGCCTAAGTGGGATTACAAAAGAACCGGTTACAAGGAAGAATAATTAGCTTTTTGGGTTAAAATAATTTTTTTTTATATGAAATTCGAATTGTATGACAATTAGAGATTAGACTGTACAGAAATTGAAATCTACATGTAACGCTAATACACACTACATACATGTAGTCACGCAATGCTGATGTTAACATGAACAATTTGAGAACAAAGTATAGCAATAATAATAATTTGCACGGTTTGATGTGATATGAGCTAACCGATCGTTAGATTTAATCACCATTGGTAGCGCAATTTATTGTAATGCTTTTTTTCCTCAGTTGTCAGAACAAAAGTGGCAGACTTGTTACTTACTTGTTCAGATGTCAATATCCAGTGAAAATTCTTATTTGGGTTATATTCCAAGACGTAGGCTAGAATCTGTGATTCCCGAAGTACAGGATCCACACCAGTGCAGTGACTGACAGCCAAACATACTTCTCAAAACATTAGATTCATCTCACAATTTGAGTTGAATTACTGAAATAAATGAACTTTTCCATGACATTCTAATTTATTGAGATGCACCCGTATATGAGTGCGTGGCAGTTCACGCCGGCGCGCCTAGGAAAAGCACACAAGCGAGTCATTTTGAAACATCAAGACAAATAAAATCATGACACGAAACACGATTCTTTGTTCTCTGAGGTTAATATATCTGTTCTGAGACAGTCATACATTATTATAGGCCTACAGCCTAGAAAGTGCGCAAAGAGCACTACCTCTATAATCACAAAAAGCTGTCATTCCAGATCATTCACTTCAGTTTATCACGATCTCACGATGTTCCGTTAATCAGTGAAGCTCTCTACACTGCACAATGAATCTCTTAATTACATCATATCTACACATTGTTATAATGAGAGGATTTGCGAGCTTGCAGAACTCAGCACTTGACAAAAACTGCATTTTGAGCGGTGAGTAAACATTTGATGCTCTACACACTGGAGCATTTGCCAAATATGTTTCGCCAATATCAGATGGGGCCCCCTGATTCCCCGGGGCCCTAAGCGGCTGCTTACCTCGCTTATTGGTTAAGTCCGCCCCTGGCAATAACCACATATCCAGAACGAGTTTACCTAAAATCTGCTAGAGTATCAGATGATAATACCAACAAGTCCACTAATTAGTTTGCATACGGTACACGAGACACGGAGTGGCGGAAGACGGACAAGCGAAATATCCGTTTGTTTGTTTGTTTCTACATATGAACACAATCCTTCCATTTATATTGAAATATAAATACGTGAACAGTTTAGACTGAATAAATGGTGCAAACAGCAACGTTACAGTCAGACTGATGTGTTTAAATGTACAAATAGGCTACAAAGTGTTTAGAAGTACAAATAAAACACTAATACATGCATTAATCCATAACAAAAACAATTAACTCTTTAACTGGTCATGTGGTACACAGAAGTACAACCCAGCTAACAGGAACGTTCTCAGAACTTTAGCTAACTTTCTGGTTTTCTCAAAGTTACGAACTAACATTCTTCTAGTAACGTGAACAGAACGTTCATTCTGAGTAATCTGGTCTTAAATAACATTCTGAAATGTTAGGACAAAAGACATTACTTATACATTGTTTATGGAATGTTTTTCTTAAACATTTTAGATGGACGTTCCTCTGACATTTTTTAAATGTTCCTAGCTAACGGGGAACATTCTCACAATTTTCACTAACGTTTTTTAAAAGTTATAAAAAAGGACAAAACGTTCTTAAAGTAATGTTTAGCAGACGTTTTCTATAACTTCATTAATATTTCGTAAACTTTCTCATAATGTTACGAGAAAACATTCTTAGAACAACCTTCTCGGAATGTTCTTCGAATGTTATTTCCATTTGATCATTTTTTTTGTAACTTTTAAATAACATTCCAATCTTGACATTTTAACATTATTAGAATATAAAAAAATAAAATAAAAACTTTCAAATAACTTTATATTTCAGGTGAAAATAAAAGTTAGCAGAATGTTGTAAGAAATGTTTTTGTAGTCTTTAAATAATGTTAATCACAACAAGAAAACTGGACATTTAAACGTTCACAGAATATAAAAAAATAAATGTTTAAATAACATATTTAAGGTGAAAATAAAGTTAGTAGAAAATAGTAAGAAACATTTTTGTAACCTTTAAATAATGTTAGAATCATGACAAGAAAATTGGACTATAAAACGTTTTTAGAACCTAAATTCATTACCTGGGTTTAAACTACTTGTTTCAGAATGTTAAGAGAATATTCAAAAGTAACATTCCCATAACGTTTGCAAAAAATGTTTCATTCACAACTTTCAAATAACCAGGAATTTTTTAAAATATATATTTAAATATTTAAAATCTAGACGTTTAGAGAACATTCAGAAATAACATTTTCGTAACTTAAAGCTGCAGTCCGTAACTTTTTTTGGTTAAAAATGATAACAAATCTATTTTTGAGCAAGTACATAACCAGCCAGTGTTCAAAACTATCTCTGCCCGATTCACAACGGTTAGCTTATAATAATGTTGTCTAATTTGAATTGGCGGGAAATTCGAGCATGCCGCTGCATCATTACGTCACATCTATATCGCATCTGAGGATCCTGCAGGTGGCGGATCGTTTATAACCTTTTCTCACAGCAGCTGGAATAATTAAATTTATCACTTTGATGGCGGATTGTAATCCAAAAAGGTTTGTGTTTATGAAACACAAGTGACTGAAATTAGATTATATTCCAGTTTTAAATGTGCATATGATTACAGATAGCCTAAGTGGGATTACAAAAGAACCGGTTACAAGGAAGAATAATTAGCTTTTTGGGTTAAAATAATTTTTTTTTATATGAAATTCGAATTGTATGACAATTAGAGATTAGACTGTACAGAAATTGAAATCTACATGTAACGCTAATACACACTACATACATGTAGTCACGCAATGCTGATGTTAACATGAACAATGTGAGAACAAAGTATAGCAATAATAATAATTTGCACGGTTTGATGTGATATGAGCTAACCGATCGTTAGATTTAATCACCATTGGTAGCGCAATTTATTGTAATGCTTTTTTTCCTCAGTTGTCAGAACAAAAGTGGCAGACTTGTTACTTACTTGTTCAGATGTCAATATCCAGTGAAAATTCTTATTTGGGTTATATTCCAAGACATAGGCTAGAATCTGTGATTCCCGAAGTACAGGATCCACACCAGTGCAGTGACTGACAGCCAAACATACTTCTCAAAACATTAGATTCATCCGCGCTGGAGCCGTGCCGGTGCACAACCCACGTAAAGAAAATAATTGCGCAAATAACTGCAATTGCAGGTTTCAAACAGAGATGGCGACAAAGAGGCAAAACGTACAGACTGCAGCTTTAATATGAATGTTAGCCAACCGTTCTTAGAACATGTGTGTTAGCTGGGAGTGCTGTGTAGTGTTGGTGATATTGTGTGCGCATGTTGAGACAGACGCTCATATTTCCGTGGACTCGAGCACGTCGCAGCTCTTGGAGCAGACGCTGCCGTTGCTCTGGCCATTGAGTACGTGCGCAGTGCCGCTGGTGTTGGCGGGGCCATGCTCGAGGCCGATGGTGACGCGGCTGGTCTCGGTGATGGACGAGTTTGTGTGGTAGTTACAGTGAGAGTCAGTGGTCACCAGACGCCGGCACATCCACTGACCGCGATACTGCGCAAACTTACGCTGCAGCGCCGACTGCACCTGCGGGAACACGCGTCAGCATTTCAGATCAGTTGTCTTCATTTAATTTTCCATAGGCAATTTGGTTTTGGTATATATATATATATATAAATATATATAAGAAAACTGGACATTTAAACGTTCACAGAATATAAAAAAATAAATGTTTAAATAACATATTTAAGGTGAAAATAAAGTTAGTAGAAAATAGTAAGAAACATTTTTGTAACCTTTAAATAATGTTAGAATCATGACAAGAAAATTGGACTATAAAACGTTTTTAGAACCTAAATTCATTACCTGGGTTTAAACTACTTGTTTCAGAATGTTAAGAGAATATTCAAAAGTAACATTCCCATAACGTTTGCAAAAAATGTTTCATTCACAACTTTCAAATAACCAGGAATTTTTTAAAATATATATTTAAATATTTAAAATCTAGACGTTTAGAGAACATTCAGAAATAACATTTTCGTAACTTAAAGCTGCAGTCCGTAACTTTTTTTGGTTAAAAATGATAACAAATCTATTTTTGAGCAAGTACATAACCAGCCAGTGTTCAAAACTATCTCTGCCCGATTCACAACGGTTAGCTTATAATAATGTTGTCTAATTTGAATTGGCGGGAAATTCGAGCATGCCGCTGCATCATTACGTCACATCTATATCGCATCTGAGGATCCTGCAGGTGGCGGATCGTTTATAACCTTTTCTCACAGCAGCTGGAATAATTAAATTTATCACTTTGATGGCGGATTGTAATCCAAAAAGGTTTGTGTTTATGAAACACAAGTGACTGAAATTAGATTATATTCCAGTTTTAAATGTGCATATGATTACAGATAGCCTAAGTGGGATTACAAAAGAACCGGTTACAAGGAAGAATAATTAGCTTTTTGGGTTAAAATAATTTTTTTTTATATGAAATTCGAATTGTATGACAATTAGAGATTAGACTGTACAGAAATTGAAATCTACATGTAACGCTAATACACACTACATACATGTAGTCACGCAATGCTGATGTTAACATGAACAATTTGAGAACAAAGTATAGCAATAATAATAATTTGCACGGTTTGATGTGATATGAGCTAACCGATCGTTAGATTTAATCACCATTGGTAGCACAATTTATTGTAATGCTTTTTTTCCTCAGTTGTCAGAACAAAAGTGGCAGACTTGTTACTTACTTGTTCAGATGTCAATAGCCAGTGAAAATTCTTATTTGGGTTATATTCCAAGACGTAGGCTAGAATCTGTGATTCCCGAAGTACAGGATCCACACCAGTGCAGTGACTGACAGCCAAACATACTTCTCAAAACATTAGATTCATCCGCGCTGGAGCCGTGCCGGTGCACAACCCACGTAAAGAAAATAATTGCGCAAATAACTGCAATTGCAGGTTTCAAACAGAGATGGCGACAAAGAGGCAAAACGTACAGACTGCAGCTTTAATATGAATGTTAGCCAACCGTTCTTAGAACATGTGTGTTAGCTGGGAGTGCTGTGTAGTGTTGGTGATATTGTGTGCGCATGTTGAGACAGACGCTCATATTTCCGTGGACTCGAGCACGTCGCAGCTCTTGGAGCAGACGCTGCCGTTGCTCTGGCCATTGAGTACGTGCGCAGTGCCGCTGGTGTTGGCGGGGCCATGCTCGAGGCCGATGGTGACGCGGCTGGTCTCGGTGATGGACGAGTTTGTGTGGTAGTTACAGTGAGAGTCAGTGGTCACCAGACGCCGGCACATCCACTGACCGCGATACTGCGCAAACTTACGCTGCAGCGCCGACTGCACCTGCGGGAACACGCGTCAGCATTTCAGATCAGTTGTCTTCATTTAATTTTCCATAGGCAATTTGGTTTTGGTATATATATATATATATAAATATATATATGAAGAGTTTATTTGCAAAAACCGATAAACGCCACTTTAAAAAAAAATGAGCAGGTGTGACCCTGGAACACAAAAGCAGTCTTAAGTTGCTGAGGTATATTTGTAGCAATATCCAAAAATACATTGTATGGGTCAAAATTATCCATTTCTCTTTTATGCCAAAAATCATTAGGATATTAAGTAAAGATCATGTTCCATGAAGATATTTTGTAAATTTCCTACCGTAAATATATCAAAACTTAATTTTTGATTAGTAATATGCATTGCTAAGAACTTCATTTGGACAACTTTAAAGATGATTTTCTCAATATTTTGATTATGCAACAAGAAAAATTTCAGATAGTAATATTAGACATTACTGTCACATGAAATTATGCATCCTGTTGTTATTTCGGAAATAAACACAGGGAGGAAAATATTATTATTTTGCATTTTAATCGAATTTTGTGTAAAAATGTCTAACAATTTTTTATAGTCTGATTAAATAATTACAAGAATAAAGTTCAAAATCAATGTTAATATTACTTCTGGTTTATGCTGCACAGTAAGCCACTACAATCCTCACACGTTTATGCTCATCTAAAGTGCTTTAATAAAGATTAATGATGTATTAATTATTAATTAATGAAATAATGAAGTCATACCTCTCCATTACAGAAGCAGAAGATTACAGCCACCAGGAGACCCTGCAGAAACACAAACTCTCAGTAAAACACACTGTATGACCAGCTTATTATTGCTAACTAAAATCAAAACCATTAGAAAGATTTTTGGAATTTGAAATAAAATTAACTTTAACTGAATATGAAAGACCATTAAATTGAAAAGTGCCATTGAATACAAAAATAAAAAAGGTAATTGAAACTTTACATCTCACAATTCTGACTTTTTTTCTCACATTTATGATTCTATATACAAGTTAACATCGGAATTATGAGATAAAATGTAAGAATGTGAAGAGAATTGTGAGATAAGCCATATATATATTCACCTGATCAAAAAGTTCTTCATGACAATAACAGATAAATATATCTCTTTAATTTATCTTCCATTTATACAAAAACTATTTACAAAAGAAAGAGGATGTGGATGCAATATGTATAAATAAACATGAAACATAGGTTCTATAACAAACAAACATTCAGTTCAATAGGAGTTATATACTCACTCCATTTGGACCAAAAGTCAACAAATATATATATTTTTTGGTAATTCACACAGAATGTAATTTTCTCCATAGTAAACATACTTTTTACAATGTTAATCCAATCCTGTATTTGTGGTGGATTAGGTTTATACCAGCATCTAGTAATAGCTTTTTTACTTGAAGCAAGAATTATTTGTGACCCTGGAGCACAAAAGCAGTGTTAAGTCGCTGGGGTATATTTGTAGCAACAGCCAACAATACATTGTATGGGTCAAAATTATAGATTTTTCTTTTATGCCAAAAATCATTAGGATATTAAGTAAAGATCATGTTCCATGAACATATTTTGTAAATTTCCTACTGTAAATATATCAAAACTTAATTTTTGATTAGTAATATGCATTGCTAAGAACTTCATTTGGACAACTTTAAAGACGATTTTCTCAATATTTAGATTTTTTTGCTTCCTCAGTTTCCAGATTTTCATGTAAAGTACCTCAAAACTAAAATCAACTGCAGTGTTTAAAATCTTTTCTAATACGCTATGTATACGTTTCCAAAAACTTGTGATATTAGGACATCCCAAAATATGTGAAAATGGTTAGCATCCTGTGAGCTGCAATGTCTCCAACAATTGCCTACCCTTACGAAAAAGAAGTTTATTCAAGTGTGCAATTAGTATACTAAAATAGGAAAGTATACTTTCAGTCTACTTTTTATGTACTTCTCAGACATGGGCTTTACGTACTTCTCAGAAATATACTTAAAATGACGAGGTAATAATGACTGTCAAGCTTTGGGGTGTTGATCGACTCCATCTACGTTTTGATTATCATTCTGAATCCAATTAATAGTCTTTTTTCAGCTTTTTGTTCAAAATGTTGTTTATTTCTTTTTTTTTAATGAAACTTACCCACATTCAAGTGTTTAATAAAAAAGAATGCATGAAGCTAGAAAAAAATTTTTTTTTTAAAACTACTAAACTAGTAGTTTACTGAGACTATACTTCAAAGTGTACTACAAGTATTTAATTAGTAAACTATCAGTATACCTATTAGTTCACTTTTAGTATAGTTGCAGTACAAACTAAAAACATAGATGTAAACTAGTTGTGTACTCATAGTTTACTACTGTTATACTTAAACGTATACTTTTATATACTAGAAAGTGGGCCAATTTAGTCCCAAGGAGTATTGAAATAGTACACTTACAAGTATACTACTAGTACACTGATATTTGTATACTTACTACATAAAATATACTTTAACTTTACTTAAGTATACTTAATAAAATAAACTTGAAGTATACTACTTTTTGGTAAGGGTAGAAATGTATTTTTCTGTTTTGGAGTAAGGAAAAACCGAGCAGTATTTCTCCAGCAAAATTTTCTCCAATATGAAGAACGGGAAGTTGCATCCATTGTAGTTTACATATGTTTTCCCAATCCTCAGTTGAGATAATAATACCACTTTCTTTCTCCCATCTCTCCTTAATGTACAGAGATGAATGAATCTCCCTGTAAATCCAATGCTCTGTATAGTTTAGTAATAGTCTTCAACATTGGTTCAGCTGAGGAGAATATTTGATCTAGAGCACTCTTATTTGGATCTCTGTATTTTTTTGTCTTTTATCTCAGTATTCCTATCAGTGTTGTATAAGGGTTGTATTTTTTTATGCATAATAGAATGTGATCAAACAGTTTCAAATAGCTGGGCTAAGATATATAATAAATTATTTTGACTGCAGAAATATGTTATTTCAGTACACACATTATCCCACCGGTCACAATTATGACCGACCGTAAAACATAAAAGAAATTTCACACACTTTTCCAAAAAAATGTCAAATAATAATAGTTGATTATTTCAAAGGGTCACTAATGACACATCATTTGGATATTTTCATCTCTGGGACAGATTTGGGGTTAAACGGGTTAATAACACTAAAATAACACTGCTGTACAGTCACACAGGTCTCAAAGAAATGCATCCGTTTAATAAAACATTTAAAATGCAATAACAGCACTTTTTATGCTAGTGATATTAAAAAAACAGTGGAAAGTGCTCAAGCAGGCGTTTATTTAATTAGCTACAGAAACAAAACGCCTCATGGGCTGATTTTACACATCTGTAATGCATTTTTGACCGACTGCACTGATTCTCCGAGTTCATCACCTGGAAATGGGCGAAGATGTTCATGAAGAACTCATAGACGGCCCGAGAGACGCGTCCGCTGGGCTCCAGCGGCACCAGGATGAACTGAGCGCCCAGCAGAGGAACCAGGATGATGGTGGCACGAACCGCCTTCATGTAGACGTTAGTCTCGATGCAGTGAGTGACCCGCAGTTTGGTGATCAATTTTAACAGATATTCACATAGAAAACAGTTATTTTAAATAGGAAAAATATTTCACAATTTTACTGCTTTTGCTGTATTCTGGATCAAATAAATGCAGGCTTTGTGAGCAGAGGAGACTTCTTTAAAAAACATTAAAAATCTTGCTGTTCAAAAACGTTTGACTGGTAGTGTAATGAGTAAAGTACCGCATTACTTTTAAATTTACAATGAAATATCTGAGTTACTTTTTCAAATAAGTAACGCCAGTTACTTTGTTTCCC